AAATACTGACAGTCAACTCTGTACCCCATCACTATGTATAAATAAAAAAAATAAAGTGTGTATAAAAATAAATGAAGGAGGAGTTTGAAATCATGTATTAAACTGCATTTCCAGTCTTTTTGTGAGAGGTTTCCAAACTGCACAGTAAAAGGTGAGGGTGGAAGCAGTGGGTACTACTTTTAATTTCTCTATATTTTTGTGAATCAGTTAAAACACTATTAGCAGTAAAGCTTTGAAGGGAACTGCTTCTGTCAGCTGTGCTCTTTGTCCAACTGTAAAGAAGGGTGTAATGGAAAAGGTTGGTGTGGCAGTAAGTCTTCAGATCCATTAGAGGTTATTGACTTTCAGGTCTGTCAAGTTTTATAAGCGACTTGTTTATCATATATAAACAAAAAGTTACATATTTTATTTGGAATTGGATGTTAACAAAAGTCCTATACTCATTTTGTTTTATTGTATTATGTTGTGATCCTTTGCCAAAGTCTATAGTAACCCTAATATTTTCAGAATGTTAGTGGACTTTATAAAGTGGTTTTACTTTCAGATTATCACATTAGAAAATTATACCANATGTTAGTGGACTTTATAAAGTGGTTTTACTTTCAGATTATCACATTAGAAAATTATACCATTTCTTTTCCTGACTTAAGGGAAAGACTTTCTGATACTTGCTGATAAAGTTAATTTTCTTTTCCTTCTAGGTATTCAGTTAAAGTTGCATTACCACATCCTGTTACAATACAGGTACGCACATCCAGACCAGATGCATTCATCAAACTGCAGGTCCTAGAAAATGAAGAAATCATGGTGAGCTCCATTGGAAAAGGCCAAGCTCTAATCCCGGTATTTAACTTCTTGGGGAATGAAAAGGCTTTGAGCTCCCAGTGTAAGTGTATCTTTTTAAATTGGGTATTTGGATTCATAAATAGATGCTTATGTTTTTGTGACATTTTAAATNAAAAAAAATACTGTTACTATTTTAGCTTTTATGCCTTCATTCTCCATTTTTGCATTTACATTTTAAACAAAAGTGGGCTCTTACCTATTTTTCTAATTTATATTTCTTCTTAAAACTTTACCTTTTTTTTTCTTTGTGACATTGATTGGACTCTCCAAATGAATACTAAATAAAAGTGATCAGACTGTATTTCCTTTCCTTAAATAGGAAGGCTTATAGCATTTACTGTTAGGTATTATGTTTGTTGTTGGCTTCTAATAACTGGCCTTTATGAAATTTGAGAAAGTTCTTTCTATTGATGGCTAAGAATTTTAAGATGGAATGGGTATAAAAACTTATCAATTTTTTGTT